CCGACATCTCCGTAGCTCAGAGCGAAGCTCCGTCCGGTGCTGCAGGTAGGTTCGACCACTTCCGCGCTGCAGACCTTCAACTACGTGCCCGGGCGCCTAGCAGTAGCCCTCCTTGGAGCAAAGGAGCTCATGCGGAAGGGACCGGTTTGCAAACCTGCTGCAGAGCCGATCCTCGTGAGCTCGCCACTGGAGGCCTTCCGCAGCGGACGTGGCTCTCGTCTTCCGGGTCATCGCCGACAACTTCAAGACCCAGGTCTCTGCGAAAGCCTAAGACCGCTCTCTTGAAGCAGTGGAGTGCACGAGAGAGCTTACCCCCCAAAGAAGAATGTGTGGCAATATGCCAGCGATCATGCTCTCCCCGAGTTTCGATTCCGTTTGCCTTCTTACACCGTGTATGGGAAACAGCTGCCTCTGTTCTGACTACTTGTTCCCCTGCAAAGCCTACACCCGACACCCTGTACTTCTCAATATAAGTGCAGTGTACAGTGTTACAGTGAACGGAAAAGAAGCTCCACGTACAATGCATGGATATGTTGAGCCACAAATCTGCAGGGCAGTGTACTCCATATGTTTTCGATTCCGTCATTAAGCTCACTCACCGATATAATTTTTCTTATGTCGTGTACGGGACATCTATGTCTCGTTCAGTATTCGTACATGTATCGCCAGAAGCGCTAAACCCTCTATGCACGGACTTTCGGCCACTCCGGGACGGACTTCGCGAAGCTTCTGAGGCTTCCTTCACCGGTGCCAGCTCCGACATCTCCGTAGCTCAGAGCGAAGCTCCGTCCGGTGCTGCAGGTAGGTTCGACCACTTCCGCGCTGCAGACCTTCAACTACGTGCCCGGGCGCCTAGCAGTAGCCCTCCTTGGAGCAAAGGAGCTCATGCGGAAGGGACCTGCTTCAATCAGGTTTGCAAACCTGCTGCAGAGCCGATCCTCGTGAGCTCGCCACTGGAGGCCTTCCGCAGCGGACGTGGCTCTCGTCTTCCGGGTCATCGCCGACAACTTCAAGACCCAGGTCTCTGCGAAAGCCTAAGACCGCTCTCTTGAAGCAGTGGAGTGCACGAGAGAGCTTACCCCCCAAAGAAGAATGTGTGGCAATATGCCAGCGATCATGCTCTCCCCGAGTTTCGATTCCGTTTGCCTTCTTACACCGTGTATGGGAAACAGCTGCCTCTGTTCTGACTACTTGTTCCCCTGCAAAGCCTACACCCGACACCCTGTACTTCTCAATATAAGTGCAGTGTACAGTGTTACAGTGAACGGAAAAGAAGCTCCACGTACAATGCATGGATATGTTGAGCCACAAATGTGCAGGGCAGTGTACTCCATATGTTTTCGATTCCGTCATTAAGCTCACTCACCGATATAATTTTTCTTATGTCGTGTACGGGACATCTATGTCTCGTTCAGTATTCGTACATGTATCGCCAGAAGCGCTAAACCCTCTATGCACGGACTTTCGGCCACTCCGGGACGGACTTCGCGAAGCTTCTGAGGCTTCCTTCACCGGTGCCAGCTCCGACATCTCCGTAGCTCAGAGCGAAGCTCCGTCCGGTGCTGCAGGTAGGTTCGACCACTTCCGCGCTGCAGACCTTCAACTACGTGCCCGGGCGCCTAGCAGTAGCCCTCCTTGGAGCAAAGGAGCTCATGCGGAAGGGACCGTGCTTCAATCCAGGTTTGCAAACCTGCTGCAGAGCCGATCCTCGTGAGCTCGCCACTGGAGGCCTTCCGCAGCGGACGTGGCTCTCGTCTTCCGGGTCATCGCCGACAACTTCAAGACCCAGGTCTCTGCGAAAGCCTAAGACCGCTCTCTTGAAGCAGTGGAGTGCACGAGAGAGCTTACCCCCCAAAGAAGAATGTGTGGCAATATGCCAGCGATCATGCTCTCCCCGAGTTTCGATTCCGTTTGCCTTCTTACACCGTGTATGGGAAACAGCTGCCTCTGTTCTGACTACTTGTTCCCCTGCAAAGCCTACACCCGACACCCTGTACTTCTCAATATAAGTGCAGTGTACAGTGTTACAGTGAACGGAAAAGAAGCTCCACGTACAATGCATGGATATGTTGAGCCACAAATGTGCAGGGCAGTGTACTCCATATGTTTTCGATTCCGTCATTAAGCTCACTCACCGATATAATTTTTCTTATGTCGTGTACGGGACATCTATGTCTCGTTCAGTATTCGTACATGTATCGCCAGAAGCGCTAAACCCTCTATGCACGGACTTTCGGCCACTCCGGGACGGACTTCGCGAAGCTTCTGAGGCTTCCTTCACCGGTGCCAGCTCCGACATCTCCGTAGCTCAGAGCGAAGCTCCGTCCGGTGCTGCAGGTAGGTTCGACCACTTCCGCGCTGCAGACCTTCAACTACGTGCCCGGGCGCCTAGCAGTAGCCCTCCTTGGAGCAAAGGAGCTCATGGAAGGGACGTGCTTCAATCAAGGTTTGCAAACCTGCTGCAGAGCCGATCCTCGTGAGCTCGCCACTGGAGGTCTTCCGCAGCGGACGTGGCTCTCGTCTTCCGGGTCATCGCCGACAACTTCAAGACCCAGGTCTCTGCGAAAGCCTAAGACCGCTCTCTTGAAGCAGTGGAGTGCACGAGAGAGCTTACCCCCCAAAGAAGAATGTGTGGCAATATGCCAGCGATCATGCTCTCCCCGAGTTTCGATTCCGTTTGCCTTCTTACACCGTGTATGGGAAACAGCTGCCTCTGTTCTGACTACTTGTTCCCCTGCAAAGCCTACACCCGACACCCTGTACTTCTCAATATAAGTGCAGTGTACAGTGTTACAGTGAACGGAAAAGAAGCTCCACGTACAATGCATGGATATGTTGAGCCACAAATGTGCAGGGCAGTGTACTCCATATGTTTTCGATTCCGTCATTAAGCTCACTCACCGATATAATTTTTCTTATGTCGTGTACGGGACATCTATGTCTCGTTCAGTATTCGTACATGTATCGCCAGAAGCGCTAAACCCTCTATGCACGGACTTTCGGCCACTCCGGGACGGACTTCGCGAAGCTTCTGAGGCTTCCTTCACCGGTGCCAGCTCCGACATCTCCGTAGCTCAGAGCGAAGCTCCGTCCGGTGCTGCAGGTAGGTTCGACCACTTCCGCGCTGCAGACCTTCAACTACGTGCCCGGGCGCCTAGCAGTAGCCCTCCTTGGAGCAAAGGAGCTCATGGAAGGGACGTGCTTCAATCAAGGTTTGCAAACCTGCTGCAGAGCCGATCCTCGTGAGCTCGCCACTGGAGGTCTTCCGCAGCGGACGTGGCTCTCGTCTTCCGGGTCATCGCCGACAACTTCAAGACCCAGGTCTCTGCGAAAGCCTAAGACCGCTCTCTTGAAGCAGTGGAGTGCACGAGAGAGCTTACCCCCCAAAGAAGAATGTGTGGCAATATGCCAGCGATCATGCTCTCCCCGAGTTTCGATTCCGTTTGCCTTCTTACACCGTGTATGGGAAACAGCTGCCTCTGTTCTGACTACTTGTTCCCCTGCAAAGCCTACACCCGACACCCTGTACTTCTCAATATAAGTGCAGTGTACAGTGTTACAGTGAACGGAAAAGAAGCTCCACGTACAATGCATGGATATGTTGAGCCACAAATGTGCAGGGCAGTGTACTCCATATGTTTTCGATTCCGTCATTAAGCTCACTCACCGATATAATTTTTCTTATGTCGTGTACGGGACATCTATGTCTCGTTCAGTATTCGTACATGTATCGCCAGAAGCGCTAAACCCTCTATGCACGGACTTTCGGCCACTCCGGGACGGACTTCGCGAAGCTTCTGAGGCTTCCTTCACCGGTGCCAGCTCCGACATCTCCGTAGCTCAGAGCGAAGCTCCGTCCGGTGCTGCAGGTAGGTTCGACCACTTCCGCGCTGCAGACCTTCAACTACGTGCCCGGGCGCCTAGCAGTAGCCCTCCTTGGAGCAGAGCGGAGCTCATGCGGAAGGGACGCGTGCGCTTCAATCCACCGGTTTGCGAACCTGCTGCAGAGCCGATCCTCGTGAGCTCGCCACTGGAGGCCTTCCGCAGCGGACGTGGCTCTCGTCTTCCGGGTCATCGCCGACAACTTCAAGACCCAGGTCTCTGCGAAAGCCTAAGACCGCTCTCTTGAAGCAGTGGAGTGCACGAGAGAGCTTACCCCCCAAAGAAGAATGTGTGGCAATATGCCAGCGATCATGCTCTCCCCGAGTTTCGATTCCGTTTGCCTTCTTACACCGTGTATGGGAAACAGCTGCCTCTGTTCTGACTACTTGTTCCCCTGCAAAGCCTACACCCGACACCCTGTACTTCTCAATATAAGTGCAGTGTACAGTGTTACAGTGAACGGAAAAGAAGCTCCACGTACAATGCATGGATATGTTGAGCCACAAATGTGCAGGGCAGTGTACTCCATATGTTTTCGATTCCGTCATTAAGCTCACTCACCGATATAATTTTTCTTATGTCGTGTACGGGACATCTATGTCTCGTTCAGTATTCGTACATGTATCGCCAGAAGCGCTAAACCCTCTATGCACGGACTTTCGGCCACTCCGGGACGGACTTCGCGAAGCTTCTGAGGCTTCCTTCACCGGTGCCAGCTCCGACATCTCCGTGATTGCAGCGGTTGGGCCCCCAGCGAAGCCGACTTGAGATTTGCTTCTTCTGCTTTGAGTTTTCTGAGTTTGGGCTCGCCCGCTGGGCTGGGAGCAGCTCCGGAAGGCGGATTTCTCTGCGCGCCTCGAGGGCGGCGTTTTAGAAAGGCATCCTTTCTTGAGGAGGCTTCGGTTCTATCAGCAGAGGAGGCGGGTTCCAAGGCTCTTTTTTGTCAGAGACCCGTCTGCTGCACCGACGTGTCGCCTCTTCTATAACGACGCCGAGAGTGCCTTAACAATTAATTGGACATTCATATCGTTATATGCGACGACTCGTAGAGCCGAACTCGGACTTCTCCGCACGCCTCGGCTTTTGGGAGCCTGCTGAAGTGTGCGAAGGGGGTGTGTATGAGGCGGCCTGCATCACGTTATTTCGGCGGGAAGTTGTTCGATGCTCCTTCAGCCACAGCGCAGTTTACGCATTCTCAAAACCCGCCGACCTCCGCTGTTCTGCTGGCGCTTCTCCGAGGCGGGGCATCTGCGAGGAAACATTGTTCAGCAGAGCGGGAGCGCGAAGTGGCGTGCATTGTCTTCCTGCAGGAGCCAAGAGGCCGCCGAGAGCTCGCGAAGTGGCGCAAAGTCAGGAGGCGGCGCTGGGAAGCGAAGCTCGCACCGTCTTGAAGCGAATCTCCAGAGATCGCAGCAGGAACGCGGAGAGCTGCACAATCGCCTGGCTGTGGCATGCAGGCAGGCGTCCAGCAAGGATGCGCTGGGAAGCGCTTGCGAGCCGTGCAGTAGCTGTGCAGAGTCCGCCATGTCGGAGAAGCGACAGGAGCTTCCTAAAGCGCAAGCGTCCCAACGAGAAAGTGCAGAGCTGGTCGCGAAGGCCGGGCATCAGAACCGGTGCGAGCAGCGTTCCAACGGCAACTTGCCAAAACAGGGCCAGATGCAGGTCTGCTCGGAGCGGAAGGGCATACAGAAGCAGCGCATCCGTGAACCGGAGTGATGCGGCGGAATTCCCCGGTCGCAGTCAGATCCCGTCGCCCATCAGCTGGGTTCAGCCATTGCGTCCTCTTAGTTCCTGGTGAGACGGGACGTCGTGAAGCCATGGCGCGGAAGCGGAAGAAGCTTCCGAGCGAAACACCAGGTGGGACTGCGAGGAGATCCGCGCCGAAGCGGACGGCAGCCTTGTGGGCCTGGTACTGCCAAGCGCCCGCGCTTTTTGCCAGGATCGAGCTGGCAACGGCTCGGCGGCGCTGAGCCAGCACAGGAGGCAAGGCTGCGGAGCTCCGAACTGCACAAAGTGGACCAGTGGAGGTGCCAGGTGCGAGGAGCAGTGCGAGGAGAGCGGGCGGCTGGTGGATTTGTGGGCCTCGCGCCGAGGCCTAGCTTGCGCGGAGACCGCAGGGAGAGCTTTGTGCACCTGCTGACGTGGCTAGAGGCTCGAGGAGGCTCCGAGCCCCAGCGCCTCCTGCAAAGGACGTGGAGCTCCAAGGGAGCGTGCAAAGTCCAGGGCTTTGATCACAGGCGTTGCAGTGGTTCTGCCGCAGAAGCGGTCAAACAGTAGCCTGGTTCCCAACATCGACAGGTGTCCTACCACCGTGTGGAAGCAAAAGTGCGCACATTCGATGCGCCGATTCTTACATCGTTGAGATCCTGCCCGTTTTTAGTTCAGTTGCACAGCTCCAGAGTGAGCCTCTGCTCCACTGTGTGCTGGTCAATTTGGACTCCGCGTTCGAGGGGACTAAGTCTTGAATGCAGCATTCCATTTCCAATTGCATGCATGCCGTACTGCATCCTGGGATGTGACTTCGCTTTTCGCGCAAGCCCCAGCCACAAACTGGGGCGCTTTCAGTCTGACTGCTTGAGCTTCCCTTGCCTGCTTTGTCGTCTCGAACTTGGCGGACACCTTGTGTGGATGACCATAGTGGCCATAGTGGTGCAGATGATCACCTGGGAGCGAGACGCAGAGGCGGAGACGCCCGGCTGGGCGTGTGGAACTTGGCGCAGTCGCTGAGCGCCAAAGCCCAGCTCCGCTGCTACGGAGCTCTGCTCTTCCTGGGCTTCTCATCTGCTCTGCTCTTCTTCCCGCTCTCCGCTGCGGGCCCTGCCGTCACGCTCTGCTGTCACGCTCTGCTCGCGGGAGGCTTTCCAGTGCACGGAGGCCTTCAAAAAACCGGGACATGCAGAAGGGCCCATGCCCCCAAGAAGTCTGCGCACAGCTCACGCTGAAGTTCGGAGTGCTGCTGTGTGTGCTCGTCTGCGGAATGCAGCTGCGGAATGCAGCTGTCGCAGGCTGCAACTCCGCCTGCCTTAAAGTGCATTCTGATGCAGAGTTTTCCACCGACAGCCGCACGAGCTTCGCAGCTCCGCGACGAGCACGGGCGCATCCGTGGATGCCCGAAACGCTTCTGGAGGAGGACGGGGCGGCCACCCGCTGGGATGCACCCTTCCCGAGGATCGGGAGCTGGGGACTGTCCGCAGGGATTGTCTCGGAGTTTGAGCTGGGGGGGCGGGCCCGGGAAAAAGGTAAGTTATGTCTTTGGCCTTCATTTCGAAAGTATCTTTGATGCATTTTGATGCCACTCATCACTCATGTTTGACGTTGCTTGCATGCACACGGCTCTGCAAAGAGTGCTTCGCTTGAGGACTGTTGTTACTGATTGTGGAATCCGTGGCGATTCGGGGCACCAGGCATTTTTGCAGGTGGCTATAGGCGGCGAGCCTATGTGTACAGATGAAGCGAACAGCAAACTGGTCTGAGCAGCATCGCAGCTCGGCGGTGACGTATCCATGCAGAGGAGTCATGATTGAGATTCTGACAACCGCCCTCGCAAGCAACTGAGGCAGCAGGTTGCCACGGCCCTGACAGCCGGCACCGCCGTGGGCAGTGACCTGCTTGCGCAAGTCAAAAGCCCTGCAAATGTGTATCGGATGACAGTGTTTAAAGTAAGATATCTTGTGCTGATTATAGTCAATATGCCCAGACTCTGGCAGGTGCAAGTCTTTACTGCATGATTGAGGTTACCTATATGCCTATATGGCGCAGTCTCTTCGGCTCTGCTGTTCTTCAGCTCCGCGCTTTGCTCGCGGAAGATGCGCGCTCGGGGCAGTGTGGGGGCGGAGGCCTTCAAGAAGCGGGAGCCTGTGAACCAGCGCCCGCCGTCTACGAACATTGCGAGAGACGGAAGTGACGCATCTTATGTCAGGTGCTGGCCCCTCAGGCCAAAGAGGATTTCGCCACCTGAGGTGCTGAGCCGTGAGAGAGAGAGGACTTGGAGGCACGGCCCGCACCGCCGCGCTGGTTCGGTTCACCACTTCGCCTCCTGGGGTTCGGCGGGCTGCGGCGGTTTGCAGTGCCCGCGGAGCTGAGCTCCGCCCGAGACGTATACGCTCTCTCCGTCGCAGTTGCTGCGCTCGGTCTGCGGTCATTCGCTGAGGCCTCTGCCATGGACCCCATGCGGAACCATCTCGACTTGCAGCGAGCGCCTGCCGCAACGCTCTGTGAGACCAGCTATCAGAATTCCTTTGCAGGGGGACGTCCCTCACGCTGGCGACAGCAGCTTGGAGAAGCGTTGCGCAATCATGCGCGTGACCCAGCGATTTAAGGATGTGTGCAGTTCTGTGGTGTGTGGTGCATATCCCTGGCCAAGGTTCTATGTCAATGTACGGGCATGGCGTGGGAAAATGCAGCACTGTTGATATATGCCGTCCATGTTGTGGAAGCGGATGCCAGATTCGATGCTTTTTGGGGGTACAGGTGATGGAGCTCGAATAGAGCTGAGGTTTCAGAGCTCTGCCACCATTCGCTTCCAGCTGGTAGTGCAATCAGCGCGCAGGCTCGCAGACGTGCTCCTCCAAAGCCCCTTGCTGCAAAGCGCTAAGGTGCAAACTACAGGTTCTTCTCAGTCTCAATCAATCTATATCAATCCGTGAGCGTGTGTCCTAAACCCCTAAACCCTGAACCCTAAACCCGAATCCCAGCTGCTTCAGTTTCCAAAAGAGGGACAAGTGATATGTAGAGGGATGCAAGGCGCTGCTGGCCGGGCTGGCACGCTCCAAGCAGCTGAAGGACCCGAAAGCCCGAGAGTGTTTTGAGCTCCGAGCTTCCTTCGAAGCGCGCCTTTGACGGGAGCTGGAAGATCTGTTCGAACAGGGCGGCCACCCGGCGCCGTTCCCGAGGCTCGGAAGGGAGGGTTTCGTGCCCAGGAGCCCGAGGCTCGTACGTGAAGCATCGTGCTAGACGTCAAGCAGGTCGACCTGTTTTGCATTTGCTTGAAGCTTCGACTCCGCCTGTTCCCCCGCTCTTTGCGCTGTGATGCACTGGCCTCTCTGCCTCTTGCCGCTCTTTGCTCTCAGGCCTGCATTGGCTACGCGTGCTGCCTGCAACCCGCACCACAAGCTCGTCCGCTTTTTGCGAGCGCATGTCGGGGCTTTATCGCTCTGCAGACCATCCGCCTGCACACTGGCACTCGCCAACGGCAGCCTACGAATGCGAGTCAGCCGAGCACGGTCGTTGGAAGTCTTCTCCCGCCTTGGGTGGGTGCCGACTCGAAGCATGCAGCATGCCCTGCCGGGGCGCTTGTGTGGAATGGTGTGGTATAGAGCTGTTGCTGGTGACGAGCGTCAGTCAGTGAACTTGCTTTTGCTGCTTCAAAGTGGTTGAAGGGCGCCGTGTTTCAGGGATGGCGCGCCATGATTCCACAAAGATGTCCCTCAGTGGTGCCCCTGCCATACCAGCCCGGGAGGCATTTGTCAGAGCCCGTTTGCTACCGGCGAGAGTTGCTCCTGTGATGCTTCAGCTGCCGGGGCTGCCGGGGTCGCGATTCGAACGTGAGCTGGAGGCTCGGCGAGCACGTCCAGGGAATCCGCGCATGCGGCCGGGTGTGGCAGATGCTTGCAGATCATTTCTCGCCGCGCCACTCTGGCGAGCAGGGCGCTTTCTGCTCCTGATGGCTCATGTGCAGCCTTCATCAAGGTGACGGCTGCTTGCTCACCTGCAAATTTTGCAAAGTCAGGCGTGCCTGCTGAAGTGTGCGAGGAGTGTGTGTTTGAGGTGGCCTGCATCACATCATTTCAGCGGGAAGTTTCGATGCTCTTTCAGCCCCAGCACAGTATACGCATTCTCAAAGCCCGCCGGCCTCCGCTGTTCCGCTGGCACTTCTCCGAGGCGGGGCATCTGCGAGGAAACATTGTTTAGCAGAGCGGCATCCGCGATCGCCGAGAGCTCGCGAAGTGGCCCAGAGCCAGCAGTGCGAGGTGGTGGATTTGTGGGCCTCGCGCCGAGGCCTAGCTTGCGCGGAGGCCGCAGGGAGAGCTTTGTGCACCTGATGTCGTCCAAGCGGAGCGGCTAGAGCGGCTAGAGGCTCGAGGAGGACAGCTCCGAGCGCCAGCGCCTCCTGCAAAGGACGTGGAGCTCCAAGGGAGTGTGCAAAGTGCAGAGCTTCGCAGAAGTGGTCAAGCAGTAGCCTTGTTCCCTGTTGATGATGTTGGGGATTTACAGGACTCGGGGTATTAGTAACAATGGAGTAGTGTGTAGGAGTTGGGGAGCCTGCGAGCCTCTGTCTAATTTGATGCGGTAGGTCATCTAGAGGATTGTACATGGGCCCCAAGGCTCACACAAAACCAAACCCGAACCCATCAATCTCCCAAAAAGGACACAATGATTATCGCACTTCCCGCACGATGCAGTGTCTCACACTCAAAGGCCGAATGCCTTTTTCAATCGCGCTTGAGCCAATACATGGCATCCCACGCACCTCGGTTTGTGCGTGTCATCCTTCGCAAGGGCCATGCACACTCCTTAGTCGTGCGTGTCATCCTGAGCAGGGGTCATGCGCACACTCCTCCTCGACTTGCGAAGAGAATCTACAAAAGTCGCGACCCCGCAGCATGACCCTGCAACTGGAGATCTGAGCGGGCTGGACTATTCCTTCGGCCCCACTCCAGAAAGCAAAATCACAACTCATGTCCAGCACTCGGCTGGCTTATCCTGTGATCTTTGGCATGGACGCAACGCCCACACGATGTCTCAACTGCATGAGGCGTGTTTTTGGAAGTATCTTCGTGAGCATGTCTGCAATGAGATGTTCTCCTGGAGTGTGCAACACCTGCACATCTTCAAGATGGATCTGATCGCGCATCCAGCTGCACCTCAAAGCGAAAGCTCTAGTCCTCCACTTGCCAAAATGCATGCGATCCTGAGTTGCAAGAATGATTGAAGCACTGTTATCTCCTGTCAGCGTCCTCGTCACAGGCTTATGAAGAAGATCCTGCAGCACATACGTAAGACGAATCCCCTGGGACAAGGTCTCAGCCAGTGCATCCGTTTCTGCTTCACAAACTGACCAAGCAGTGACTGTCTGTCGACAGGAGAACCAATGTATCACACTGCCTGCATAACACAACACGCCACCTGTCCGGCTTCGAGAGCCCTCAGGGGCGAACGATGCATCTGAAATGAAAGTCATCTCACCCGGATTCCCATCCGGTCCATACTGCAAGCACTCATCAAGGGTCCCTCGCACATAGCGCCACAAACCCACACAGAACTTACAGATCGCCTCTGGTCGGCGATGCATAACACTCGCTCCCATTGACACAGCAGCAAGGACATCGGGTCTACTCCGAATTCCAATCCACATCAGAGCTCCAATTTCTGACCGTGCATTGGCCAGATTCTTGGCATGATGCTCGTCAAGTGCTTCATCCTCGGCCATCTCCAGCTGAGGAAGTGACTGCGAACCCTTCATATGAACCCAGCCTCTGCGATTCAGCTCTTGAAGAATCCAGCGGCGCTGCTGGATAACGATCTTATCCCCCTCGAAGGAAATTTCTACTCCCAAGAAGTTCAGCGCTTGCTTCTGTGCCACTTGTTCATCGTTGCATTTCACTTGCACGTCCGTTTGTCTCGCGATGAAACCCTGGATTTTCGTTCGCCACTCTGCGCTCACAAACTGCAAGAACGCTTCCACTGCAGATCGTTCGCCCGTTACCAAGCAATCATCTACATACATGGCTACTAATCCCACTAGAGTGTCACCACATAGCAGCTTCCACAGACCGTCCTGGTGCGCGATAGGCACGCAGTGGATCTGCCTTCCTTGATCATCGGTCAAAACCTTACCGGAAATCTTGCCGTCTCGATCCCGGCTCCAGTCCAAAGGGGACCGTCGCAACCCGTAGATTGCTCTGATTGGGACGTACTGAACATCTTCCGCAATCAAACCCAGTCGTTTAAGGACTGCCGGCGGCTCAAGAATGACCAAGTCTTTACCACCCAAGAAGGTGTTTAAAAATGCTGCGCTGATGTCACCTGCTCCCATGATCCACGATGGCCTTAGAGCAGTTTCCTTAGCCATGGTCCTCAAGACAGACATGTCCACATTCTGCGTGCTCAAGTCCTCTTTGTCCTGGGAATCATGTTGGAAATTTCCGCATGCTACGATCCTCACTTTCGGCTCGTCGATTGGTCCAGAGCTTTCATTCAAAGGCTTCAAGGTGTTGACAAGTTGCATCGGTAGGGCCTTAGGAAGCTTCACGCTTCTGTCTAGACCCAAATCCTCATGGATATGGCCCTTTCGAACCTCAATCCAAACCTTCTGATGCACCGTCATGTTGTCGAGCTCCTTACGTGCCGCTCCAATCCAATCCTCGCGACGTGGGCCGAAGAAAACATCGTTTCCACATGGTTCCGCGCTTGCCTTAAAGCTCTTGAGCTCCTGGGCTAGACGCTCTTGCTCAACCATCTCTGCTTCTTCATCAAATCCAGGAACCTGATATCCACATGGCTCTGGCGTCACCTTATCCAGCTTCTCAAGATAGCATGCCTTGGAAGATTTCCCACAAACGGTGCAGGTCTTTCCCTCAAGCCACTCAAGATTCTTATCCCTGGACTTGGTGACCTCAGCATCCTTAGCTGAACTCTCCACAGCCTTGTTGCATGCTGCTTCACACTTCGCCGCCTGGAAGAAATCTGCTTCCTTCGCCTCTTCAGGGCCGTATTCGCGCTCCTCGACGGTTAGCAAACCAAGATCGTGACCTAAATCTCTGATGTACTCACCGTCTCGCACGTCGCCCTTCGAAGAGATCCAAACAAGATCACCCAGCGGTGTGGTATGTGTTCTCCAAGTTGCGCTCTGTGTGTCCAGAGTTGTTGGAAGCCTTGCTGTCACGACTTTCTGTTGCCCGTTCCTTTCAACCAGCACTAATGCACCGCGTGATACATCATCGCACTGCGCCAAGAAAGTTGCAGGCTCAGCTCTCGGATCAAACGGTCCAGGATTAATGACCCGAATGGCCACCTTCTGACCTGGATCAGGACGTTGGCCTTGAGTCCTGACTCCCAGCACTCCATCACGATGCCTACGCGCAGCTTCGTGCATCATCAACGGCCAATATGCCACATGAAGCCGTCCTTTGATCAGAAAACCTCTGGCCTTCTCCTTGAGCATGCCAATGCACCTTTCTGCTAAGCCGTTTGCTTGAGGGTCATACCCGCAGGTTGTTGTTTTGAACACGCCCATTTTGTTGATGCCTTCCACCAGCTGCTTTGCAATAAACTCTCGCGCTCGATCTGAGTGTATTCTCACTACCTCTGGCTTGCCGCCACTTGTAGCTGCAATCTGTGAAAGAATACTTTGAAGCTGCTCGTACACTAGCTGCCAATGTCGGTGTCGGAGAGGCCTTGTATACTGCAAGTTGCATCCATCAGCTAGACGAAGCACTGCAACCAACATGTATCTTGCGCCATCATAGCCCTCACGGTAAGGACCAGCAAGATCAATGGACATCACTCCCGTTGCAACCTGCTCTGCACTCAAACGAAGGTGTGGTCGTCGGAGTCCTCGAGTTCTCAAATCATCTATTGTCCTTCCAGGCTTCGGCTTAGGAATCGCATCAGGTGGCAAAGACTCTGGACCTTGGTCAACAGGCTTCTCCTCCTCAGGAAGTGAAGGCTCATACACATCCAAATTATCTTCGCAATCAGGTCGCTGCTCATCGGCTCTTTGCTTCGTTGAGTGCACGAGCTCAGGAAACAAGTCTTCTGACAGCTCTCCATCGCTCACTTCTACGACTTCACCGAAATAAGGTAAACCCTGAAAGCAATCCTGAACACCCTGGTCATCGCCTAAGCTTCCCTGAACTCCCTGAACACCCTGAACTCCCAAGGCATTCTCCAGCGGCTCCGGCGCGCCTTCTGCTGGCGCGCATGTGCTACCCTGCTGTTGTTGTTGTTGATGCTGCTGCTGCAGAACCGTGTTGATCTCTACACGTCGTGTTCCGTCGTCGTCGTGTCTATCATGGATTGGAAAGCCTAAACCCTCCAAATGAGCACGCATGCGCTCTGAGGTCTGCTGTCCAGCTGCCGGCGTGAACGCCGTCACCACAATTCTGTGCCCTCGGAAAGGCTCTGTGCCATGCATTTGAAACGGGTCGAACTCAGCAATCGTACGGCTTGTGCTCAACAAACGACCCTTCGCAGGAGGCTTGTCATCATGCGTCTTTCGCCACACTGCCTTGGACCGCTCAAGTTTTGGATCAGCTACCCAAACCTCTCCGCCATCGTATGCCGTGAGACCTAACACATAATTCTGTGAGCCAGGCATGTTTCGACTGTCTTTGTGAGGCCGAAAAGCAGTGTTTTCCATGATCATGAATGAAGTGTATCTAGCCTCAGGGTGAACAGTCCTAATCAAGCGATTCACTCTCTGCACAGGCTGCACATGCTGCTTTGTAAGGCGCGTGGTTCCACACATTCCACCTCGGCCAAACAAACCAAAAGCCCATGCATGACCTTGGGATTCTGGCTTCGTAACGTTTGGCCTGTGACTGCCCTTTACGCGCAACTTAGCCCTATGAAGCTCATCCAAGACCGCATCAAACTGGCTCTCTTTTGATTCGTCATGGTCTGTTGCTGGCTCCACAGCAACCAAGCTTGCTTCACAGCACTCTAGATCATCTGCCACATGCGCCATGACTTCTTCAATGTCAAGAATGCTTGAGGCTTCGGGACACATGGGAACCGTCACACTGCAAACCTTGCGATTGCACTGCTTGTACTGCTGAGTCAAGTATCTTCGAACCTCAACGAAGTCCTCCCACCGGACATAAAGCAAACCGTTCATGACGATTAGATTGATGGTTCTAATCTCACCCGGGAAATCATCATCGGTCTGAAGGTAGGGACCTCGGGCTCGGCTCCACACGAACTTGTATCCTAACGAGACCAAACGACTCAGACCACAGATCCATGTGGCGCCAGGAATCACCAACTCCCCTTCCCGGCTTCTAAACGCTTTGATTCTCATGCCATCGGCCAATTGCAATGATGTTTCACACCCCCTCCGCGGGGGCTCGCCTGGTCGCAACACTTCGTTCGCTCCGGAGTCTACCAGGACGAAATCGTGATCTGCATGCAGGCCGGGCGTTGCCTTATTAGCCTGGCCGTATCCACCCTTGGGAACCACCGGGGGACTCTTCCTCACAGCTTTAGCTTTTGGAGGCGGAGCGGCTGGCACTGGTGCAACCTGAGGTGGGGCTCTTACGGTAGGCTGTTTACTGCTCGGCTCACCTGCTCTACTCTGACCCCATGGACATGGCTTTGGACACGCAGTTGATGACTGTGCTGAATCACCGGATGCCTTCACAGGAGGTGATGCGATGATTGTCGGCACTACTGGGGGTCTTTTCACTAGTGAGGCCTTTGGACTTGATTTTGGAGGTGCAGCTTCTGACTTCACCACTGGTGGCATCGGAAATCCTGGTCTAAACCCGGACTCAACCATTCCAATGTACAGCTCATTACCGTCCTCTAAATCCAAAAGCCAAGCAACAAATCCCGGTCGCACAATACCATCGCTACACATGATCATCACAGCATGTGCCTCCGCAATCATTTGCGTTTCTCCAATCTCGAGATCATAAGCTGGAAGCGTCTCTACACGATTCAAGAAATAAGATACACCGACCGCTACATCGAAAGGGTTCGTGACTCCGACGAAATCCCGTCGTGCCCCAGTCTGCACGTGGCCACTTGTCCACCGCACAAACTCACCAGGATCTAAGTGCACTCTCCACAACGGTAGTCTCTCCAGACGCTCCTCACGAGCCTCACGAACCGCTTGGGCTAGATCATCCACCAGAGGATCCAACTCACTTTCTGAACCCTCGTCCTGAATGGTTGACTCAGGGGATGGTGTCGATGCTGAAGATGACAATGATTCCAATGACAAAGCCTCAGACTCCTCCTGCGATCCGTCAGCCTCTGAGTCCTCACGAAGCCTACGTGCCATGAATGCTGATGCGACTGCCGATGCCTTAGCTTTCGCCTTGGCCTTTCCCTTCGCAGCAGCTGCTGCCGAGTCTGTACCCAGCAAACCTGGCACCTCTGTGTCTGCCTTAGCAGCACGACTTGCCTCCGCTCGATACTTTTCATCATGGCTGTAATTGCACTGCTTCCGATAACATCCTTTCGGACCGAAAAAGAATCTGCATGGCTTGTCAATCTTCTTCGGGGTCTTATTGGCATCTGCAGGATCAGGATTTCCAGACTTACGATCTTGAGCATGGGAGCTGGACCCGGGTTGCACGTTGGTTTTTCCGTGCTTCCCTTTTGCTTCCTTTCCCTTGCCCTTACCCTTATCCTTTCCTTTCTCCTTGCCTTTGCCTTTGTTTGCGTAGCTCTCACTTGGGCCTCCCTCCTGCTTGTTCTGCTTGGTGTGTTCGTCAGCTGCTGTTTGCCGGAGTTCGTGCTCCAAAGTGTCCAACATCATGTTGACTCCCGCCTCCGTCGGGAATTGGATCTGCGGCGCCAAACGCAAAATGCCAAGACGGGTCTTCAAAGCATCTTGCTTACGTTCCAGGACACGCGTCAATGATGCCAGCGATTTCAGGGCCTCACTCGGCGCTGTAGCCGGTAACCCCAAAGCAGCTGCACGGGTCCGAGCCATCTTCCATCGTCGCAAAACCTCCAACGCTTCTCGAGCTGTGCTCACCGGCTGAAGATTCCTGACATAAGTCAAAAGGCTCGAGACCTCCTCTCGGCCACCAGGTTGTACGATCGTGATAAGTTCTTCAAGGAGGGCCAATGAAGAGATTTGATTCTCATCTGACTCCATGGCTGCGGACTTCATCTCCTGTGGGAGGACCCGCAACAAAGCCACTACCAGCCTGGATTCAAAATCTCGCATCTGATGTGGAACGGCTGGGAAAGGCTGCCGTGTACCGCCAGCCATCCTCGCCTCATGCCGCGCATGGGCCGCAATGAACTGGGTCTCCACGTACTGCTTGAAAGAGTCGGCAACAGTCGCGCTTACCGCTAGAAATTGCCTTTTCCAAGTGACATAGGCCATTGCAGTCTCCCAGGGTTGACCTACCACCGGCTGATAGCTCGGCAGATCATTCAATGTTTTCCACCTTCCATTTGGGATCTCACCAGTCACATTCCCCTGCCCAGGATCCGCAGCGTTGTCTGCGACCACATTTGGAGCTCGGAGGTACGCTGGCAAACCAGGAGGATCACTAATTCCCCAGACATTCTGCGTTGGCCTTCCAATGGATACATTCGCACTATGCTCTGTTGATGAAAACTCGAAAGGTTGCTGCCACCACATAGCGGTAGCATCTGGTTCCTGTTCATCTGCAGGCTCTTGATTTCCCCACGTAGGAGTGTCCTGCAAATTCGGTGTCAAGTCAAATCGCTGGGGCATTCCGCCCACATGCGCTTCAGACTCACAAGGACGTTGATCATCCTCACAATCCGCATTTTCCCACTCTTCCATGCTTGTCTCCAGTGCCGTTACCCGTTCGTCAAGCTGGTCTACAACCGCATTCAGGTCCTTCAAAGATCCAGCCTCTGCATCGTGAGCGTCCCCACGAGCAATCTGTGCCAGCTCTTGATCCACCCTCTCGGCCAACATGCGAACTTGGACTGCCAAATCACCCTCGGCAGCACCAGCATCGCCCTCTTGAGACCCTGTAGCCTGCGAACTTACAGCTGCTGAAATGTAAGTTTCATGAATGCTTAGCCGGCCCTTGTGTTCGTTCACACTCGCACTCATACTGGACAGCATGGTTTCCATCTCATTCAGACGTCCAGCCATGGATTCCACCTTGGCCAATAGCAGGGCTTCGCGCTGCTTCGCCTGATCTATCACGACAAGCTGTTGATTGATTACCGCCTGGTTGTCTTCCAAACGATCTCTCATTGCAGCCATCTCCCTGGTCCATGTCGAGGCTTGCTCCTCAATCACGGTCTGCTGGGCCCTCAAAATCCGCTTGAATTCTTCCAACTGATTTTCAACAGTAACGCACCCTTCAAAGACCTGACGGTGACCTGAGTCCAAGGATTGCACAGCTTGGCCTAGGATTCCTGTACGATGGTTAAGTCGATCGCTGATTTCCTGCATCGCTGCTCGGATATCTTCGATGGCTCCAAGATCAAAAGACACGTTCTCCTGAAGTTGTCGAAGCAAGTCGGCAGGGAAAGCAATCTGCGTCATTGACCTAAACATCACAGTGTCAGTCGCGTCGTCTCGCGCTGAGGCATCTGCTGCTGCTGCTGCTTGTATGCCGTGCATAGGTTGAGGAGTATCTAGGGGGTTTGGGCTCATCACCTGTTGATGATGTTGGGGATTTACAGGACTCGGGGTATTAGTAACAATGGAGTAGTGTGTAGGAGTTGGGGAGCCTGCGAGCCTCTGTCTAATTTGATGCGGTAGGTCATCTAGAGGATTGTACATGGGCCCCAAGGCTCACACAAAACCAAACCCGAACCCATCAATCTCCCAAAAAGGACACAATGATTATCGCACTTCCCGCACGATGCAGTGTCTCACACTCAAAGGCCGAATGCCTTTTTCAATCGCGCTTGAGCCAATACATGGCATCCCACGCACCTCGGTTTGTGCGTGTCATCCTTCGCAAGGGCCATGCACACTCCTTAGTCGTGCGTGTCATCCTGAGCAGGGGTCATGCGCACATTCCCAAAATCGACAGTTGTGCTGCCGTGTGGAAGCAAAAGTGCGCACACTCGATGCGCCCTTCTTAAATCGTTGAGATCCTGCCCGTTTTTACAGCATCCAGAGTGAGCCTCTGCTCCACTGTGTGCTGGTCAGTTTAGACTCCGGGTTCGAGGGGACTGAGTCTTGGTGCGCTGCGGTTCGAGAGCGCAGGTGAATGCAGCATTCCATTAAATTGGATTAAATTGGCATTTGCTGCTGCCCTGTCCTTTGCAAGCATCTGGAACTCAACAGCGGGACGGATCACGATCAAAGAAGTGTCATTAGGATTTGACGCTTCGGCACGCTTCGCTCTTGCACAGCTGGCGCTGTCCGGGGAACGTCTTGGGCACCAAGGGCGGATCTTGCTCGGCTTTGTTGCCGGAAGCTGCCTGGTCCTGGCCTCTCCCAGACGACCTGGCGATTGCATCTTTGGGCCTGCTGGCCGCCACCGGGGGCAGCATCTCTTTGAGTGGAATTCGGCGAAGATATCCGCACATATATAGAGACCCATCCTCTTCGCCAACGTGCGCGCGAGACGCCGAGCGGCGGATGTCGCTGAGCAAAGAGGCGCCCATCTCTAGGAAGGTGGGCGGCTTTGTCTGCTCTGCTCTTCCTGCTCTCCGCTGGCTGCTCCGGGGGCCCTGCCGCAGTCTGCTCGAGAAGCGGGACATGCAGAACGGAAGATGCCCCAGAAGTTTGCGTCTGCGCACAGCTCACGCTGAAGTTCGGAGTGCTGCTGTGTCACTGCTGGTTTTCGGAATGCCGATGTCGCAGCTGTCGCATGCTGCAACTCCGCCCGCTTTTGTGCATTCTGATGCCTCGTGCAGAGTTTATACTTGGATGTTCAAGGCTGACATCAAGCATGAAGTGAAGCAGGAAGGACCCCCGCCTATCGGGCTTCAGTCGGCTCAGTGTTTCGAGTCTTGGCGGGAGCCAGCCCATGTCTTCAGATATAGTTTGCTGTCCCTGCTGCCATCATTGCATCATTGCTTTCTAGGGATGCGTTTGAGAGAAGCGGCGGCTGAAGCTCGTCACAGAAGGCAGCAGCTGCCAGACCGACGCGCTGAGCGGTCTCAGCTGTCGCGGTGTCCTCGCCTGTGAACCAGCGCCCACCGTCTACGAACTGCCATTCCGTTTCTGCGAGAGACGGAGGTGACAGTAACAAACATTGACATCTACTAGAGACGCCTGCAGCACCGCTTCGAGCTGGATCGATACAGGCACCCTGACCCTCCATGTTCCTCGTTGGCGCTCCTCAAGCCCAGCGGCTAGCAGACGGACTGGAGCGCGCCGGTGGCCTCGAGCTGCCCTCCACAGCCAGTCAATCGTGCAGCATGGTGCAGCCCAAGACGCACAGCTGTGACACCGACTCCTTGCTGATGTTGCTGGGCAAGAATCTGGAGAATGGCAAGACCCTTCCGGAAGTGGCTGTGCCTCCCTTGCTTTCTTCGAGGCGGGGCTGCGAGGACCGGCAGCGGAGCGGGAGCGCAAGGTGACTTGCAAGGTAATTGCATGCGGGATCGCTTCCGAGAGCTGGAGGAATGAAAAAGCGGCAGAAGCTCGAAGAGGGGACCGCTTGCGTGGAGCTCCAGAGATCGCAGGAGGACGTCGGAGAGCAGGGCAATCGTCAGGTGTCCAGCCAGGATGCCCCATGTCTCCTGCTCTTGTACCCTGGCTTCCTCACGACATCTGTGGTTGAACGTGCTGCAGAGACGGTCAACTTCTGTGGAGTTCGATTTGCGGAGCCACGAGCCACACAAAACAAGCACTTGGCCACGTACAGGCTTCGAGCACCAATTGGCTAGATTTATGTGCAGTGCCGTAGAAGTCTTGATGCTTGTTGTTCGACTTGCAGCCGATGGCGCATCAGGTGTCTTGCATTCGTAGTCAATCGATGGGGGCTCCCCTTTCCTGCTTGTCAGGCTGTACGCATGTCGGGGTCCCGACAGTTGAGTTGTCCAGCTTTTTGTTCGAGAATTGGTAGAAGCACCTGACAAGTGTGGCTACAGGCTTCAAGCTTTCTGTGTAGTTTCTTTCATCTTGTAGACCACCAAATTAAAGAACCCTGGATCAGCCATTGCATGGGAGTGGTTCGAAACGGACGGGGCACGTAACAAGAACCCGACATTGCTTGCAAGATGATGGTGTGGGAAGGCCAAAATGGATGCTCTAGGACCTAGGAGAGCCAGTTGCTCGAATGGTAGCCATTCCATGTCAAGCCTCTTGCAGGGCCTGCCAACCAGCCTCCAATGATGGTCTTGATGCTGGCCTACCGGCGCCGCTTGTGCTCCCATGATGCGCACAATGCTCGCTTGGCGGTTAATTAACCGTCTGGGTAGCGATGATGTACATGCCGCGCTGCAAGGCAGATTGTTTGGAGTCTAGTTTCACAGTGGTTCTTGTTGTGTGATCTCTATGCTTGAAGCGCGACATTCACTGCTTGCCTCCTTTAGTTGAAGCGGCAGGCAGCTGCGCCGCTGTGGATTGTACCGAGTGGCCAGCGCTGAGGCTTCAGGTTTTCAGGGCTGAGCACTTCGAGGGTGGACACTCGGATGTCAAGCTGCAGCTGCTGTTTCGTGACTTGAGTGCGACCCAGGGGTTTCAGTTCCGAGCGGACGTCCATGAGCTTCGAGACTCTGCAGATTCTGAGTCGCATCCTGATTTTACTAGGAGACACGTGGCCGGCGTGCACAATGCAACACTCCAGCTTCAACCAGCATGTGACAGCTCGGTGCTTGCAGGATCTCAAGCAGGAGGCGAAGGAGGAGGTTTCGAAAGATTCAGATATGCAAGTGAAGGAAGAGAGCAACGAGGCGACTGAAGACACAAGGAATGAACTTGCAGCAGAGAAGTATTACGTTGTCTAGAACGTATTCGAGCTAATCTGTTAATAGATTGTAACCATGATGATTGCGAGTGTAGTCGGGATGAATACAACAACAGACACGGTGAACGTCCATCCGACAAGTGTTTCAGACACATTTACAGCTCACAACAAGAGCCATAGTACTACATTAGTTCTGAGCTACGCTCGAAAGACAATCGGGACATAAAATACTGTACTGTAACGACCCTTATAGCAGAAACTATAAACCACCGGTTGGGGGTAGCTCACCTGCAGGCCTCGATGTTCCCGAACAGTCCACTGCTGCATCCTTTTTCAGTTGAGGGTTGGAGGGGGCATTGGTTGCTTAGCCTTGGAACGAGTCTACCCTGGAACAACATTCTACATGCTCAAAACGATCAATACCGTTCTGTTTTACTTCCATAGCCTTGGGGACGTATATACCCACAAAGTGGCGTATAGAGGGATCCTTACACAGGCGGTCACGTCCATTGCTGTATTCGGTTTAAGGGTGACTGTCAGCGGAGGGTTTGTCAGGCTTGATTTCCTACGGTCTTCGGTCCATGCAGGTCGTTAGCTCTCGTCGAAGAATGCGCACGAAGGCCACTCGGAAAGATGCAGCACATCCATGTGTAGAGGTGTAAGTACCAAAGCACGAAGTCATGCAGGACCCCTAAGACCTAGATCCCTGCATGTTAGACCCGCTGGCTTCATGTGCACGCATGTCATGTAAGCATGCACGTATGTGTATGTGGTGAGGGAGCTGAATCTGCAAGACGAGTACGGAATGCATAGCGCAGACGTGTTCAAGGCATAATTTGTTAAGCGCAAGCGAGGAGTCCTACGCCGTTTTGTTCGGGATAGCGTTGTCCGGACTATCTAGGCGGAGCAGCGGAGTAAACATGAGTGCATCTGCTTGTGCTCTTCTGGGGTACCTCAGAGCAGGCTTTGGGGTGGCACGTGTCGGGGTGTGTGGACTTACATCATTTGCAATTTGCAACTACCATTTTACTTGGAAGGTCAAGCCTGAGATCAAGCATGAAGTGAAGCAGGAGGACCCTGTTTGACGGCTGCAGGAACCCAGATCTTCAGAGACAGTTGACGCGTTGCTTGCGGTTTGAGGTTCCTGCGATTGCCGGTTCTGCTGCATGTCGTTAACCGCAAATGTAGTGACTCGTTTCGTGACGAGTAGTGCAACCGGGCCGTACTTCTGCAGCTGCTGCTGCTGTCGTCGTCTCAGTGTCTATCCCTCCCATATCAATAAGTGCTGTTTGTTTCCGACACCTGGAACCCCTGAAGCAGGACCATATAAACAAACCCGGTGTTGTCCGGTTATGCTCAGTGAGTTCTAGTTGTTGACTGCAGGCTCTTTGTCGCGATGAAACTCTTGTGATACTACATCAACAGTCTTGCTATCAGTACTATATCATGGCTGGTCATGTTTGTTTGGCAGTGCTGTGTTTTTTTGGCTTGGGGCCTGGATTTTCGCATCCATGGGCTGAGAACACGACCTGGGGGTGACAGTAATGGATGTTACAGGACTGAAAGTTCTACACCTTGTGTTCCATGCTTGCAAGCGAAAGGGCACGCTCAATGCTCGCACATAGTCTTTTGCCTATCTCCCCCATCACGGAGGACAAGAAGTCGCACAGCACGTCGAGGCTTGGCAGCGGTCAGGACTTGTATGCTGCGAGTTTATTCAGTGCAACACATTGCTATGGGCAGAATCGAAGCGTATCGGTGCAACTGTGGTGAAAGATCTTGGGGATTACGCTTTCAGGCTTCGGCCTTGTAAGTATATTTTCGAACGATGGAAGGGCTGCCAGACGCTGGTCCATCCTCGCATTTGGGCAGTTGCGTGCAACCTGACGAAACTCTTCCTCCTATGTTGAGCCCTCGCCTCGGCACGGTTTGCACATCGACCCATCCACAACACTAAGCGACCTTCACTCCTATGGTGGAAGTCTGAAACCAGACACCTCTCTCTTTCAGCTGGTTCGCTTCAATGTTCAGGGACTTCCGGCCTTGTGCCTCAACGTTTTCGGCTTTAAGCTTTCGTCGCAGTCAGTTATTGCAGTCGGTTTTAGCAGTTCTTAAACTGTGTTGGAGTATGATGGGTTAATTATGTTGCTTATGTTCTGTCGTCAAAGAACTCACGATCTCGGTGCTGGTTTTTTCTGCTGACTCTACTGACTTGCTTGTGACATTGCCTTCCGTTTAAGGACCGGCAGAAAGCAAGAGAAAGTGGATGCGGAGCAGCCCCTGCAAGTTAAGCAAGAGGACTGCGCGAAGAGGCGTCGCTTGAGCCAGAAGAGTCCGGACATCTCAGTTCCATCCTTCGAGTCGCGATTGACAGAGTGGGCCGAGAAATGCCTAGCATTTCAATCCTCTGGCAAGACGTGGCTGCCCACGAAGCCCTGCTGTCCGGCCAGCCCGTTTCTCGGATTAGCAGCCGCTCCGTGGCAAGGATGCGTAAGAGACAAGGCAACAGCATGCGTGCAGCTCCTCGGCAAAGAGCAGTTCAGAGAGTTGTACGACTTCTACCGCGAGAATCCACACCATGCTCTCTTCCATGACAGAAGTGACCCAAGCAGCGAGCGACAGTCAGAGAGCACTGCTGGATCCAGGCCACAGGCTAACAGGAGCTCAACCGGCAATCAGCACCGAGCGGCTGAGTGCATGAAGATGTGGCCTTGGATGCGTGACCTTCCGACTCGAGCTTGGGCCGGCAACGGCTGGCTGCTGATGGAGGACGGCATGATGAAGCTCTCCCCGACTGGAGGGGGGTCCGCCATGCAGGGCCTCGAGATCTTCGAGTCCGTGGGCTCCGTCCCTGACCCTGGCGAGCAGAAGCCCTTGGAGTCGACGAGCCAGGCGGAGCCAAGAGCTGAGGGCGAACAAGTCGTCACAAGGAGCTTCCGTGGCCTGGAGCGCCAGAGCGGCATCCAGGGAATTTGCTGGCACAGAGCGAAGGCCTGCTGGAGAGTCCAATGGTCAGCTCCCAGCAAACCGAATCAGCAGCGTCAGTTCCCTATCTCCAAGCACCTGAAGCTCGGCCTCACGGAGGCCGAGGCCGAGCAGGCGGCTCTCGAGGAGGCCAAGGCTTTCCGCGAGGAGCTCGTGCGCCTGGGCAAGCTGAAGCCGCCGAAGCCCAGGACAGGGAAGCTTGGCGGCTCCATGGTGAGGGGAGTCAAGTACAAAAAAATGTCTGGATGCTATCAGGTGGAGCTCTCCAATCCGTCCACCAAGAAACGCATCTACGGCGGCAATTTCAAGGTGAAGGAGGAGGCCGAAGCCAGGGCCCGGGAGCTGGCCAAGGAGTTCGGGGTGGAATGCGAGGGCGGAGTGGTGCCGGTGAAGCTGCTCTCGGAGCTCCCGTACTTCGAGCCGCTCGGGCCACAGAAGGGCATCAAGTGGAACTTTGGTGAGCAGGCCTGGCATGCAACTTGCAATGTGGCCAGCAAGTATAGGAACATGAGGTTCCGCCCGAAGGACATCTCGCCGAAGCAGGTGGAGAAGGCCTGGAAGCAGGCGGTGGCCTGGCGGAAGCAGCAGGAGAAGGAGAGGGAGCGGGCTGCACGGTCCCAGCAGCGCTGAGGAGCACAGCACAGCATATGAACTTAAGCAAGTTCTGTTTAGGTGCATTCTCTCACGGTAGAATCATGTGCAGGCCGAGCTTCATGTCCAACGATTGGTGTGATGTTGAATTTAAGGCATCATCTGTTGACGGGTTCTCTCTTGCACAGCTTATCTTCGAGTTGGTGTCCAACTCGCCCTGCGCAAGTCTGCCATCCAGTCCCACACTGCCCACAAAATTAGGCCAGCGTGGATCCCTTCATGTCTCCCGCTGCATTCGATGGCTTTCTGCTTCGAAAGAGCAGATATGCGCCATGTATTTATCTCGCGTGCGCTCTGCACTCCACATGTACGAAGACGAACCCATCCATCCAAGGTTTGCCCTAAAACTGTAAGCCCCTTCCAGGAATCCCATTATTCAAGGTCCAGGAATCCATTTCCGTGGCCCTCACAGGGCCGTAGCAAGTCTCTACTTTTCCGGAAAGCTGGATCGGCTTGAGGAGGTTAGAGTGTTCAGGATTCAGCCTGGGATGCTAGTCAATGCCCAACGACAGGCAGACGAGTCAGATGTAGCATCTCCGCATTTTCAGTGAAACTCTTGCATTGCCAGGAACTAGTGTGCCCTGAACCTGACAACCAAACCATACCCGAAACCCCAATCCTCAGACCCGACTCTGAATCTAGCTGGCTATGCCGAGCGGCTCAAGATTCCACTGTTGCACGAGACCGTGGCATGGCTTCCGCGGATGCGACTTTCCTGAACATGTTTCACTCTACGGGCCGACGCACCCCTCATTTCAAGAATCCGTTTTATAGCAGCCATAGAGAACGGAAGTAAAATATCGATGTGAGCTCCTGGTTTCCCTGGATTCTCATTCAGGCAGTTTCAGGATCCGGCGGCTGGCAGTGCGCCTGCAGGATGCACGTGTTGAAGCGCATGGGTAAGTCCGTAAACCTTAAACCCTAAACGGCGCTTAAAAAAAAAAAAGCTTAAACCCTGAACCCAACAAAAAGGAGCGTCTAAACAAAAAAGGCTGAACCCAAAACTGTCACGAAGGCCCTCGGCGTGGCCTTCGAGAGGTCCTCGGAGCTGGTGCCGGAGGCCTTGCCCTGGCGTGCACCGCTGCTCCATCCGCTGCTGCTCGGTCATCTGCTTGGGAGTTTCCGAGACTTAGGGGCTTATTTGGGGGTCCTTATAATAAGGATCCTACTATATAGGGTACTATATCAAGGTCCCCTATTTTCGGAAACTCCCACTTCTGAGTTCTAGGAGTTCTAGGAAGGGAATGTGAGTCTGAAGGCTTAAACTTAAGCTACTTCTGATTTCTAGGAATGGAGGGGGTTTCTTAAGGTTTTACTTCTGAGTTCTAGGTATGGAATGTGAGTCTCAAGGTCTGTTGTTGCGTTAAGTCCAATTTCTAGGTCTTGACATAGCTTATGTTCTACGAAGGAGCGAGACTTGCCGGGTCAGCTCAGGCTGGGCAAGAAGTTGGGAGAGGCTAACGGAGTCTCCACCTTCGAAACCAGTGAGATGGCCGCAGACATCAACAGCCAAGCCATGCAGCTCTTTCAGCAGCATTGTGGCTTGCCGAAGAAGTTGGTTGGTTTGAAAATCGCATCCTAAAGAGGACTCAGAGAAGAAGTTGCTCTTACTTCAACATGTCTTGCCTTGGACCTCCCTCAACGGCTCCTTTTGTCGTTCTCCTAGGGAGGCAGGGTTCGCTTCTGCTGAATGTGCCAGGTGTCTTTGAGCGGGTTGTCCTGGAGCTAGCCACTTGCTCCTCGCTGCTGCCTCGCATCTGCGGCTCGCAGAGGGCGCTGGACAGAACGTTGCAGCTGTCGAGCTCGCCGATGCAATTTTCCAAGTGCCGTTTGTCATTTCTGACAAGGGCAAGATGCGTGTTCGATGCGTGGCATCTTCGGAGAGCACGGAAGAGGCCAGTGTCCAGGTGGAGGATGGTGTTGCAACTGAAACAACGATACACGCGCGATTTGGGACTGCTCATCTCGTACCTTTCCTGGACCGCCAGCCAGACAGGCTTGAAAGCTGGCGCAAACTGTGTGAGGCGGACAAACAACCCGAACAGGATGTGAATCAGCTCTACTCCTCCTTCACGGAGCGAGGCTTGAGCTACGGAGTTTCTTTTCAGACGTTGACCAGCACAGCGTGCTTCACCGAGCTTGGAGCTCTTGCTCGATTGCAGGATCCATGCAAGGTGGAGTGCGCCTCCTGGGAGAAATCCCTGCAGTTACTGCATCCTGCACAGCTCGACGGGGCGCTGCTCGTAGAGCTGGCCGCCCGCGGAGAGAAATCCACGTACCTTCCCTTTGCCGTGCGCCGGACAACGATCGCGGCGCAATGCACTTCGGGGGACCTCTGGGCTGCTGTCCGTGTCCAGGACATGCAGTGCATCTCATGGAAGCGAGAGAGAGAGAGATATGGGGGGCCCATGAGGCCGAAAGGCCTCGCATGCCTTTCATGCCCTGCTTCTGCCTTGAGAGAGAGATGAGAGAGAGAGAGAGAGATGAGAGAGAGAGAGAGAGAGAGAGAGAGAGAGAGAGAGAGAGAGAGAGAGAGAGAGAGAGAGAGAGAGAGAGAGAGAGAGAGAGGAGAGGGGGAGAGAGAGAGGGAGAGAGAGAGGGAGAGAGGGAGAGAGAGGGAGAGAGAGGGAGAGAGAGGGAGAGAGAGAGAGAGAGAGGGAGAGAGAGAGAGAGAGAGGGAGAGAGAGAGGGAGAGAGGGAGAGAGAGGGAGAGAGAGGGAGAGAGAGAGAGAGAGGAGAGGGGGAGAGAGAGAGGTGTTAATTTATGTTGCGATTTCAGAGCCGCAGGGGGGAATGTGAAGCACTTGATCCAAATTGCAGTGTAGAGGATGGCAGTCACACTGAAAGCATATACAGGAGCGGAGATCACCTTTATTTCAGATGACTTGACAGCCTCCACTTCACTCCCCTCTAACAGCCCGTAGTATACGGGCAGGCCTTAGTACCTCGGGGGCCTGGCAGGCCCCTTAAAGCCTAGAAGAAGAGAGGGGAGGGAGAGAGAGAGAAGCGTCTTAGCTGCTAAGACGTTTCTTTGCTGAAGAAGCGTCTCGGCTCCAGCTTGCGGCCGCGAAGAAGAAGCAGAAGCAGAAGCACAAGCAGAAGTAGAAGCACAAGCAGAAGCAGAAGCAGAAGCAGCAGCGGAAGCAGCAGCGGAAGCAGAAGCAGAAGCAGACGAAGAAGAAGAAGCAGAAGCAGAAGTAGAACAGGAGAGAGGGAGGAAGAGAGAGCATTCGTTGCCTTGTGACAGGAGCGCTCGGAGGCCTCCTTACTGGCCGATGTTGAAATCTTCAATTCCGATGGCCAGCTGGCTGCGCGTTTGGAGGGGGCCAGCTGCTGACGAGCAGACCCGTCTGCCACGCAGGAGCGTGATGGTTCCGACGACTGCCTGTGGCTGGGATTCAGTGGTAGTTGGCAATTATTACGACTACGATTATTGGTATTATTGCTATTATTATTATTATTATCAATTATTATTAGTATTTAGAAGCTGCCCCCACCCTGTAATAGTGGTATAATAGGAATATAATAGGGCCCTAATATAATCCTATATAGTCCTTATGGTCACTATTACAGGGTGGGGGCAGCTTCTAAAGTATTATTATTATTATGATTATGATTATGATTATTACTATTTTGATTATTATTGTTATTATTATTGTTATTATTATTATTAGTTGTTAAATCAGCAGCTCTGTCCGATTCACTTGTCAATTGTCTGTGTCCTGTCTCTGCGGCCGCTCAACAGCTCTCTGAGGAAGTGGAGGGAAAGGGTTGAGCTTGAGGCCAAAAGCGAAGGGTTCGTCAACAGGGCTACTTCTGGAACAGGGTTCCTTATCATTTTGGCCGAGGTCGGCATTCGGACGTTCAGCTTTCGGAAAGCAACTACACATCAGCATCAGGCCAGGGGCCCAGGGTTTTGCGGTTTAGGGACAGGTCGGGCCTAGGGGTTTCACATTGGTAGCGGAGCCCGGCCTGTCACTATCTAGGGTAGATAGTGTAAACAGGAAGACAGGGTCTAACATTGTACAGTAGGACAGATAGGCCCGAAGACATGCCGACTAACCCGGGAGACGGTGAGTCCAGCGGACTCGCGAGCGTGAGCCATCTTCCTTGGCAACAGATTCCTCGTTTTCAGCCGGGGACGACCAACGTAGACGAGTACACTCAACGACTCCGTTTTCTTCGTGATTTATGGCCGGAGGACCAATTGCACCTGTTGGCTCCAAGAGCCGCCTTGCAGGTGGAAGGAGTTGCTTTCCAGAAGATCGCCAGGTTGGATCCCGCCAAGCTGCGCAGCAAAGACGGCATTAAACTGCTGGTTGAGACTTTGGGTGGCAGCTGGGGAAAGACCAAGGACGAGGAAAAGTACTTCTACTTTGAACAGGCCATTTATCAAACCAATCAGAGGGTTGACGAGACAAACGACAGCTACATTTCTCGGCACGACACCTTCTTCGAGGAGTTGTTGACAAGGAACGTGACGATCAATGAAATCCGAGCTTACATCCTTCTCCGAAACTCCCAGTTGTCGCCGGAGGACAAGAAGAGGGTCATTGTGGAATCCGCGGGCGACCTCAAGTATGAACAGACGATCAAAGCCATCAGGCTCCTCGGCTCAAAGTTCTTTCAAGAGCTTCAAGGGCGGAACGCCTCCACATCGGGAACGCAGGGTCGTGGAATGGAACGCACAAAGGTGTACGACATCCACATGAACGAGGCGGATGAGACCGAGGATGTGCAGATGGCGGCCTCGAGCGGGTCACCAGAAGATGAGCCAACCGACCTTTGCTTCTATCTGGAAAACCAGGACGAAGACGCCATCTTGCCGAGTTTGAAGATTCGATAGTGGAGGCAGTGCAAGAGAGCTCGCTTGCCCCGGTCTTCACCAGTTATCAAGAAGCCCGCGCCCGCTTGCGGGAAAAGGCTCGTGCACGAGGACATTGGCCAGTCGGAGTTCGCTCTGGAAAAGGGAAAAGCAAAGGCAAGAAAGGCTCAGGGAAATCATGGACAAGTGGTTCCCGCCAAAAGAGCCTTGCAGATCGCATCGCAAACTCCGTATGCAAACGATGTGGCCAAAAAGGCCATTGGAAGAGAGAATGCCCGTTGAATGAAATCACTGCGAAGACGGAGGTGACCCATTTCGCTCAAGCCGCCCACGAGAATGACCACACGATTGCCTCCCTCTCCTCAGAGTTTCTCCTTCAGCCGCCGGTGGAATCGACTCCGTATCAGGACGGAGAGGACGTTGTAGAGCCAGTCCGTAGCGAAACCGTAGGAAGAAGGGGAATAATTCATATCTCCGAAGAAACATGCTTTACTGTGACCCCGAAGGTGGTACTGCAGTCAGATGTAGGAGATGCTATTGCGCGCAAATTGTTAATGCTTGACAGGACTTTTAACGCAGGCCGTACGCGCAGACAGTCGGACCCTCGAAGAGAGCAGTGGCACGCTCCTGAGCGGGCAGTTTTGACAAAGGAAAGGCTTTTCGCAGACGACCCGGAGGTGATCATGGTTGTAACGGTAGGGGCCGAGGCTGTTTTAGACACGGGTGCTAGTCGGACCGTGATAGGAAGTGACCGGGTAAAAGCGATGATTGCAGGCCTTCCCTCGGAATGCCGGCAGCAGATTAGGAAGGCTAGGTCAGACGTAGTGTTCCGTTTCGGCAACAGTGGGACCCTGACGTCAAAACATGCCCTGCTTCTTCCAACTGCCAGGGGAGCATGGATCAGAGTCGAAGTTGTGCCCGGGAGTACGCCTTTTCTTTTATCAAATAAGCTAATGCGGGAGTTGGACGCTGTAATCCATGTGCGTAGGCAGAAGCTACAGGTAGGAAACGATGAGTTGATTGATATGCGTTTGGATGAGAGGGGCTTGCTTATTGTTGACATGTGTTCTGTGCTACAAGCAGCAGCAGCAGCAACAGCATGGACAGCAGGACACCAAGTCCCACAAACAGACCAGCAGCCACCCGTCACGACGCCTGAGAAGATTCAAGCTTCAATGGATCAGTCAAGTTCTCGAGCATCGCCCCCTACCTCCTCATCCTCTCTTCGTGACGCTGATTGCCATGCCGGGGTCGTTGAAACAACAGGCCACCGAACTCAAGGCGCGGATCAGCGAAACCAATTTGGATCAGGAGCTCAGCGGAGAGGAGAATGCCACACTCTCCGAGGAGATGCTCACCTTGCAGAACTACCTCCATGTGACATACACCCGGCCTCCGCACATCACAACTCTCCGGGAGTGGGGAGAGACCGTGATCTCCGGGGGAAAATACAAATCGATGACTCACCAACAGGTGTTCGATCAACACCTGAGCTACTGCTTGGTACTGGCGCGAAAGAAGTCACTGAGCTCGCCATGGGCCCTCAACTTGCAGAATTACGTCCAGGCGAGGATGAAACAGGCCGCCAAGGAGCAGCTGCAGGGTGGAAAGAAAGACACCGCCAAAGCCAAGGAACCCAAGACATCGGGGCCGATGAACATTCCGATCTCGGTGGACTCCGACAGCGAGGATGCACAGGAATGGAAGGAAGTCACGGTGAACAATGCAACGACGCCGAGAGAGACCCCCAGGATGGACCATCACCCGCGCGCAAGCGTGGCAGTCAGGCGACGAGCTCGAATCACATGAAGGTCGAGGTCGATCGCCAGGAGTTGAGCACTCGACGAGCGCTGCTCGAGCGCGAGCTGGCTTTGGTCAAGGAGCTGGAGGAAAACCAGTGAGCAGTGACGATGGCAATCAAGTGATTGGAAACGAGATGCAGGCTTTGTTTGCTAGGCTCGAACACAGAATGGATCAGATCGAGGCGCAATTAAGAGATCCTGTCCGTGATCATGCAAAGAATGTCCTGCGGCATCGTTTGCCTTCGCTTGATTTGCTTGAGATTACCATGCACAGAGGTAGCAGCGTTTGCACTGCTATGCAGAGATGCGGAGGTCGTGCACTGTCAGCACAGTTTGGGAGCGCTCGGGGTGGTGTCAACTACCTCTGGAAGCTGATCTCAATCTACGAACCTCGGCACATCTGGGTAGACGTGCAAGATGCCTGGAACCGTCGCAACGGGGGTTCGCAGGAATTGTGGCCGGAGAACTTCTTGCTGAGTGTCTTTCAACATCAGACTGAACATAATCGGCATCTTCATCTTCTTAGCCGCCACAATTTCTGGGAGCACGCGTCGCCAATGCTGTGCGAAGTCCAGTATGGCATGCTCACGGCCATGCACCAAATCACCCGACTGGAGAATGGGAAGCCTCCCCCTCCGGGCAACAACCACCTGAACAAGACTAGCTACATCCATACCACATCTCGTAAGCTCCACCAAGCCATTGACACCCGACTCTTGCAGGCAGCCCAGACCAGTCAGCACGGCACCGCACCACGACAGATGCAAGTGCAGCAGCGAATCGCCAGCAGTGTAGCGCAGGTGATGTTGCGAGACAGAAGCAAGCCCCTAGTCATAGAAGAGTTGTTAGTAGGAACGGGCCAAGCGCACGATTCTGATCTGACGACTGCGCAACAAGTTCTTAAGCGACGTCGCCTGTATGGTAAGCAGCCGGCTGATGCCCTGCACCGAGAGGGCTCGACAGCTGAAACACCTGGGTGGGCGGATGTTTTCAAAGAGGTCAATGATCGGGTGCCAGTAAAGGGTCGTATCTGGTTTAGTGAGGGTGAAGAGGTTGTAGGTACGATTCAAAAGGTGTTTCAGGAGTTCTTGGTGAAACATGTGGTCTTCTGCAGGGGAACGAACAGGATACAGCCACCTCATGCTAGCTGTGATGCCCGAGACATGCCACTGAGATACACCGTCGTCATTTGTAGGCAGAGTGGGGAGATCAAGACCGATGGTACTGTAGAAGAGTGGGCTAAGCTTCCAAAATACAAACGGGGAAGAAAGGGCATCCCAGCTAAAATGAGTCTCACGATCTTCGGTTCCTCGTGGAGGCGCGAGCGATCTTTTAGCAGTCAAGAGAGGCCTTCTACATTCGTAGGCGCACCTGTAGGCGCACCTAGTTCTTCAGGAGGAGGGGTCTTAGAGATGTTTCAAGAGGCCGGATCGCTGCCCCGTGAGATGGAAACCGGACCAAGCGAAGTGTCCTCGTCCTCTGCTGTGCCAGGGGCAGAATCAAGTAGTGGAGTGCCCTCAGGGCTGATACAGGGTTTCCCTCCGAAGAATGTTTTGCGCCATGGCCCCGGATATTTAGATCTTACAGAGCAACAGAAGAGGGATCTTGCCCGACTGCACAACAATCTCGGACACCCCTCGACCGAAGTCTTTATCAAGTTTTTGCAGGAAAGGAAAGCAGAACCCGTTCTCATTAGAGGTGCTAGGGATT